TAATAATAATAACTTTATTGAAAACTGAGGTGTTACATTTAACCTTCTTTAAATAAATTATTTTATATTAACATTTATATAATTTTTTTAAAGGTTCTATAACTTAAAAGTCACCTTTTACATTTAAGGTATATTTCTAAAAGATATGAGAATATAACTTTTTTTAAATGGCCCATAATCTTAAAATCTGTTTATTTTTTTATTAAAAGATATTATTAATTTAAAAAAATTTCACTTGAAAATTTATTTTAAATAAACTGACCCTCAAAACTAAAACAAAATATTTAAAATCACTAAAAAAGATGAATTTAAATTTAAGAACTAAAAACATAACATATTTATCCCTTTCAGAAATCATCTGAAAGACAAGGAAAACATTATTCTGCACAAATATCCGTTACAATTTTTTAAGCCAATGATTAGATGAGTTGTGGTGGTCCACTCCACAACATGCAACACATGAGATGGAGAATGTACAAGTGTGCCAATCTCATCACCACCATCTCAAAATCCAAACCTTTCAAAGCAAGAGCCGTGCTAGTCTTGTCAAATCTTCCGAACCAAGACCCGTGCTAGTCTTGTCAAATGCACATGCGATCGCCACATCCATGCACGTGACTCCCACATGCAAAAGTGCAAAACGCAATCCAGCCTTGTATTCATGGCCATCTAATATTAGATACAATAATGCACGGTTAATGATTTATTAATTTTTATTCTTTTGTTCGCATGTTTCTCCGAATTTGGACATATAAAAAACAAGTACACTACGCAAGTTTTTGGGGATGTTCACGTTCAATAGTTCAGAGAGGCAGAGAAGATAACGTTTGTGTTAAGCAGAGGCGTCAATGATCCAACATTAGAGAAAAAGACACATAAGAAAGGTGAAGCTCGTTGTTTCTGATTGATCTGGATTCTGAACACCCTTTTGTATGATTTGGTTCGCTTTTGTTTGTTTTTATTCACATTAAACAAAACAAAGTGAGGATAAGCATGCACCATAATAACACCAGAGAAAACTAACCTCATGTATATCTGACTCGGATCCATGTCACATGATCGTGTAAGGAAGGTTTGAAATTTTGGCTTATCTGGGTCAAGCCCATGTTAATTCTTTTTTTTTTTTTTTTCTGTGTGTCGTTTTAAAGTGGCATTTTGATCCAAAGGGGACAAACCCAGATTTTGAATTGTAAGTTTTCGTGAGATATCAAATCTAAAGTGTATAAGTCCCAAAGTTTCTGCTTTTACATGTGCTATTTTCTCTGATCTCATTTGTTCTTCTCTTTTAATGCTTTTGTTTTGTGGTTTGATTTGTGATTTGTGATTTTGGGTATAATTTTATGCACTTAATTAATATTCCTTTGGATCACAGAGAGTGTACTTGGTTGAAAGGAAATGAAGAACTCTGCTTCAGATAATGGTATGTACATTGAGAGCGATGATGATGTGGAGAAGGATCTGCAACATAAAGATTATAACGACGAAAACGATTCGTTTTATTCGAATGATTCCAACGAAAACCAGTCACTGAAACCCGCAAGTTACAGTATCGCATGGCCCCAAAGTTACAGGTCAGCACCTCCTGTTTCATGTGTGTTTCGATCTGGCATGAATGAGTGTGTTTCGGGCAATTCATTTGACTTTTTTTTTATTTTTCATTTTTGTAATGTGAAAAAGATCCTTTACCTTTGAGAAGTGGCTAATTGAGTGTTTTTCAAATAAATCATGGAAAAGAATTTATGCCCATTGTTAAACAAAAAAAAAAAAAAAACATTCCTAGAAATCCATATGCTAATTTACACCCACTAAAAGAGGTAGAAGAGTTACAAAAGCATAGATGCTATAAGTAATAATATAATGTAACAAAAACAAATGGAGAGAAATGAAGTGCCACAATAGACCTCAGTTCTTACAGTTGAAACCAAGCTTCACTACAAAAATAAAAAATTAGTAACATTTAAAAAATATTACTTAATTATGTATAATTTTGTTAATTTATTTTTATAACATATTATTAAATATTATAATTCTTTTTATTCGTCTCCAGAGTATCCACTGCCGATAGCAGTGACTAATAACATTTTAGATAATTAAGTAATACTTTTCAAATGTTACATATTTTTTTTAATATTTTAATAATATTAATAAGTTTTAGTTAATTTTATCAAATAATAATTAATTTTAATATAGATATCACTATCACTTATAATTTATGATTCCTAGTTTTCTAGGAGATCTTCAAAGTTGAAAACATTTTTAATTAGTCACTACTAAATTTATATCAAATATAAAAGTTTATTTAACGTAAGTACCATTATATGGTTATATATATTTTTTATATGTCATTTACTTACTCGATATGAGACTTTAATTTTGAGAAATAATTAGAGATTAAAAAATATACTCTTTATGCAATATTTTTTTTACTCAATGTAAGACTTTAGTTTTGAAAACAATTAAAAAAAATAATATTAAGATCAAAAAATGTTATTCTATTTATAATAACATTAGAAAAAATGTTGCAAAATAACATATTAACTCAATCTATAGTACGTTACCTAATGTAACTTAGTAAATGTTGTTAAAGAAGTTAAATGGAGTAATATTTCTTAATGAGTAGACAGTTGTAAAGTCTATTCGACGATAGGAGATCGACTTAGTAATTGCAGAAACAATTCTCACAATGTTGAAAGAATGTTTGGCAAACTTAAATTAGTCTTGGTTTATGAGCTTTAGGATCCTAAGTAGATATTTTCATGGAAAAACATAATAATAAAGTTCCTGCAGTTGAAAATTAACTACAGGAAAGGTTTAGATTTTTTAAGTTAAATTGGTTTTGTTTAATGTATAACAATTATTATTCAGAATTTCATAAGTGACTAGAGAATCTTTTCTCGGGTGTCAATTTACTCTGGTTGAATTTAGAGATAAAGTGAAGGCAGAGCCACCTTAAACTTTATGCCTTTTAAAAATATGTAGTTTCCTTCAATTTTCTACCCTGAACTTATAAGTTATAACTACATCTCCAAAAGCTCTTCTGGTGTATTACTTTTAGACAAAACTTTAAACCATTTTTTTAATAAACCTGATTTGTATTAATTATTTAACTTTCTGAAATGATGAAAAGTGAAAACAGAATCTGCCTTTTTGTTCATCACCCTTGCTGGTTGAATTTCTGTTTCTTCATCCCTCATTTTGCTGATATTTATCAACCTTAGTACTTATTTTTATGTAATGAATAATGTTTCAGGCAATCCATTGATCTATATGGTAGTGTGCCATCACCAAATATTGGATTTCTGGGGACCACATCACTGTCAAGATTAGGCAGTTCTTTTATTTCTTCATCTTTGATAAGGAGGCATACTCAAGAGATAGTGCCACCAGAGAGAAAATCACTCTTGCAACCCCCAGAGTTGCTTCCTCCCCTAGTTTCTAGGAAGTCTTCCATTAGGAAAGATGTTTCCAAGATTTCCCATGAAGCTCACATTCCTGGCCAATGCACTTTTGGACAAGCTGTGCTTAATGGTAAGTAGTAGTGATCTCTGGTTCTGGGGTATTTATCATTAGGAAAAAGAATGAACCCCCATATGCCAAAGAAAATATGAAATGATAATCAACAAGTGGTTAGTTTGTGTGATATTGAATTTGATTCCTTTAAATAAGATATCAGACTCAAAAGTATTGTGAATGGAAAAAATATAATTGGGGAAACAGAAGGAAAATCTCACTAAAAGTAATGAATAAGATTCTTTAACAGAAATTACTAATCAAGGAAATCAATAGATATTTTGTATCAATATCATATAAAAAATTATGAAATAAAAGACATTCTTAGTAAAAATATATGATATTAGAAATACTAGTAACATATTCTTCGCAATAACACTCAAAACACATCTTCTATTTATTGAAATTCATGGGGGTGCACTGGTTAAGAAATGAGACCAACCAAATGAGAAATGAGATTCACATGAATTTCACTTAATAAGAGTGTATACAAAGTGACATAAGAAAAATGTGTTGCTAGCATTTTTCATATTATGTATGTCGTAAACACAGGAAGCAGTACAATATATATGATTTACTAGGCGGGAAAAAAAAAGTAACTGAAGTGTGTATAGATTTTTGTATTTGGTATGTATAATTCTTAACTAGCAGTAGTTTCATCTTTTTATGAGAAACTTTTTGACCTCAATTATATGATTGAGGATATTTTGGCAGCTCCAACTAAAATGTGGTAATAAAAACATTATAAAAAAAACTGATTCATGCTTGTTATCTTCATTTCTGTGTTTGTATGACTTTATTCAGATGAATAAAAAACTAACAGTTACTTGAAATAGTACCCACCACTGTCTAATATTCCAATGAACAATGTTCTTGTGTCTCCTACAACTTGTGATCTTAGTCCAACTATCAAACCTCAAATACCATTCTTCCCTCTGATTAAAGGGACCATATTAGCAACAGCTTATTAACCAGCTCCACAAGACAATAGCATTGATAGAATTTACAATTTTTAAACCATGCTTGTTTGAAAGCGTCCGTGAACTATTCCCTCATTAATAGAATACGATTGAACATACAAACACTAGGGTAACCTTGAGCCTCTGTGTTCTGTTTTAACTACAAACAAGGTAATTTTTAACAGAAAAATCACTTGGGTTAAAACCCCATCGACTCACTCTTTTACTCTCGTAGATATCATCCAACATAAATTCTATAGTAAAAAATTAAGTGAATCAGAATTATGTATGTGAAACAATTGCATATATGTGTGATGAAGTGTAACAAACACAGACCATGCACTTTTTTCTTTTATATATAGTAAGAACAAAACTTGGATACACTATCATAAATGCTTTTGATTTGTTTTTAGTCAGAATTAGAATTTTACCTCTGTAAAATGATAATATGCATAAGTATATATTTATGTAAATATACATTACCAAGACAACATTCAAACTTTGATTAAAAAATATTACCTATCATATTGTATCTAAAGTTTCATGCATCTATCTCAATTTTGAATCACTAAATCGGTCTTAGTAATTTTCATATACTTAAAATTTGAGTAGCATGTATTTTTTCTTTGGTAAACCAGCATATCTCTTAGCTTAGCTTAAAGCTAAAGTGAAACTTCTGATTACATACATAACTAAGAAGGTTATACATGAAGCATGCATGTATTAATTTATGATTATTGTGTTTGGGTTTTGCAGGCATAAATGCCCTTTGTGGAATAGGAATCCTTTCAACCCCTTATGCAGTTAAAGAAGGTGGATGGGCTGGTCTTTCTATACTGTTATTGTATGCAATATTTTCCTTTTACACAGGCTTGCTCTTGCGTTACTGCTTGGATAGTGAACCTGGCCTTGAGACTTACCCTGACATTGGCCAAGCAGCTTTTGGTACCACTGGACGTGTTGTCATTTCGGTATGTCTTCCTCAATAACCATTAATCATATTCTAATCTCTTCGAATTCTTTTTTAATATATTTTTTTCTGGATGCAGATAATATTGTACATGGAACTATATGTAAGTACATTTCTGCCTTCTCTCTGTGAGTATTCCTTTGAAATCTCAGTTACTGTTATTTGTCATGGCAAGAGAATATGGAATATATAAAAATCAAAAGTGTTTTTTATTTTATACATATATATATATATATATATTATCTTCTACACAAAACAATTATAATTATCCATTGTTTGTATTTTTTTATTTTAAAATATTTTCTTCTTTTTCACTAAAACATGTAATTTATTTTAATAACTTTATAATTTTATGTATTTCTAGTAATTTATTTTATGCATTAATACTAATTTTTATATTTTTCTTTCTACAATAATGTGTAGTGATTGATTTTTTTTTAATAGTTATTTGCTTTTATTATATATGTAGATATATTTATTAGTATGAATGATAAATATTTGACTTGCACTTTTGATCTCTTTATTTTCATTTATATATAATTTTGATCTCCTATTTTAAAATAGAGATATTAATCCTAATTTTAATAAAAATAGAGAACCAAAAATAAAATTTTATATATATATGTGATTTTAATTTTGACACCTTAATTTATATTTCAATTTTTTATCATTAAATATTTATTTTTAAAAATTATCGATAGGTGTATGGTGAATTTGTTTGTGTCTCACATAATTTTTTTAATCTATGACACTTAAATTTTTATATTTAAAATGAAAAAATAAATAATGAGTAGTTGTTTTTAATATTTTGTGATATTTAAATTTTAGTATATTGATTACTTAACTAGTTTTTTAATGTATTTTTAATTATAATTTTTAATTTTTGAAATGACATAATATTGTAGAAGTGTTTATGTAATTATATATTCAAATGTAAAAAAGTTTATTAAATTTTAAGAACTTATAATACAGGATTTTGGATTCTTTTGTATAAACTTTTTTTTAAAGAATGTTTATTTTATTAAAGTAAATAATTTTATACTTTTTTATGTGTTTATCTAAACTATTATTTTTTAAAAACAATTTTGTATTTGTTTAAGAAGAAATTCCTAAAAGAGAGTAAAACTTTCATTTTGTAAATTGTATATTTAATTTTTTTATTGTAAGAATATATTATTTTTCCCTTAACAAAAATTTAAAACAACTTACTTGGAATATAATAGTGATGTATTAGACAATAATCGAACCACTTCAAATGTGATAAATTTATTAAAAGTCATGTAGGATAATAAATGAAGGGAAATTAAATGATACTTTCTTGTTTACTTTTCCTATTATTGCAAACTTGCCACAAACAAAAAAGAAATGTTTATTTCTATTACCCTGTACTCAAATTCAAATAACTAATTCATTAAAATTAAGAAAATTTAAATTTTAGAGAGTTATAAGGTAGTATAGGTGGTATTGGGAAATGACATAGGATTAGAGTGATAAAAAAAATGAGTGGATTGGAATCTCTTTAACATAATTTACTTATTGCTTACATTTACCAATAAAAAAATATTTTTTTAAGTTAAGATCAATAAATATATCTTAATTTTTTTTTTCTAAAATTATCCCTAGTTGATGAAATATTTAATATATGTTTCCAAAATTTGTGTATTTCAAGAAAAAGAATTGAGGCCATTTGTATTTTAAAATACATAAATTAACTGAATTCTCCTTACTTTTTGAACTTAATAAATGAATTTAAAAAGAGTATTTTTATAAAAAACAATGATAATATTTGAAACATAATAGATTGAATTTTATAAACAAATAAAAAGGGTCAAATTAATTTAAAATTTGTGTCTAGCTTTGGTTTCTTTTTATATATTCTCCTTGACTAGCTTTTGTCACTTGTCCATTTAAACTCATGGCAATGGCAATAATGACTTCACCAATGACAAATTTTGATGCAGGCTTGTTGCATTGAGTACATAATTGTGGAGAGCGATAACTTGTCTACATTATTTCCAAACGCACACATTAGTTTGGGTGGAATTGAAATAAATTCACACATTTTGTTTGCAATTGTAACCAGCATCGCTCTTCTTCCTACTGTGTGGCTCCGTGATCTACGCATTCTGAGTTACATCTCAGGTACAACTTTACAACTTTTTTCTCTTCCATGTACTTATTTTTATAAGGTTATTACACAAGTATACTCCACAATGATGAGATATTGTCCACTTTGATACTAAATTCTCACAGTTTTACTTTTGATCATCACTCAAAAGGTTTCTCTAACATTAGAGTATGTGTATAAGTTGTTATTTTTTCTCTTTGTATCCCAACACTACATATGTTGGACATGATCATAATAACATTTCTAACAATGTTGTTATAGCTTGCGGAGTTATTGCAACGTTTCTAGTGGTTTTCTGCTTGTTATGGGTTTGCTTGGTGGACAATGCTGCAATTGATGCCAAGGGAGGAACAACAACACTCAATCTTACTACTCTTCCTGTTGCAATGGGTCTCTATGGTTATTGCTACGCAGGGCATGCTGTGTTCCCAAATCTCTACACTGCTATGGCTAATCGGAATCAATTCCCTGCAGTCCTCTTAGTATGGTAAAAATACGATTAGATTAATCATTTACAAATTACAATGTTTAAGTTTAATTGCACTTTTTTTTTATATTAGTTAAGATTCATGATTTTGCAAATGTTTTGCCACTCAACTTTTGAAATCATACATTTTGCCACTAAACTTTTAAAATTTTGTATTTTTCTCATTCTAGTGTGGAATTAGTTAACTATTAATATGATATGATAACGATAACTGATAAACATGACATGTTGACGTGTCATGTTAACATAGTATTTTTTGTAAGCTATCAATATCTTATGTCAATGAACAATTAATGAGTGAAAATGTACAAATTTTAAAGGTTGAATGACAAAATATACAATTTTAAAAGTTTAATGACAATTAGCAAAATTGTAAATCATGAGTGATAAAAAGTGTAATTAAGTCTTTTACTTTTTAACTTAATATATGTAGTGTAGACTGTTGCGGTCTTTTGTATATGAGATCAAGAGAAATATATATCGTCCATTGAATTTTATCATAAAAGATTAATTATTTTAAAAAAAATTAAATGATTAAAATTACGATATACAAGTAACGTGAATTTGAAAAGTCATGACTTTTTCAAATGATTACATGACATCAAATTTTTTATTATCGATATATTATTTTGATATAACCGAAATATATTCATCCCAATCTCATAAAAATTACTCTCGTCGGTAAATTAAAGGCTAAGGTAAATGAAGCGTATCATCTGGAATCTGGATGTTAGGCTTGAATCTCTTTATGTGTGAAATATACTATGTTGTAAAAAGAAATTTAGTTTTTGGTAAGTGAAGTTTGTGTAACTCATTTGGATGAACATGGTTTGCAAAAACAACTAAGTCTAGATTTTGGAATGGAGCCACCTAACTTTAACGCCCCCCTCACACACAAAAAAGAAGAAACAATTTTAATTTCTGTAGTATTTCTGTTTCAGAATTGAATATTGATCTAATTCCATATGCAATTCTTTTTCCATGTAGTTTTGCTATTTGTACAAGTCTGTATTTTGCAGTAGCTGTTATGGGTTACTCAGCGTTTGGAGAAGGAACATTCTCTCAGTATACTCTTAACATGCCCCAAGATTTAGTGGCCTCTAAGATTGCTGTGTGGACTACGGTATGTTCTTAACTAGATTACTATTTTCTTAACTAGCTTGAGTTGTTAACCCAATCTATATATATCAACATATTATTCATATTCTATCAGTCATATAAATTGCTAATCTCATTAGCATTTGGCCTTATTTTGCAGGTGGTTAATCCATTTACCAAATATCCTTCATGTGCTCCATTTAAATAAATGCATTTGTGCTTGCTTACCTAAATAATGTACTCAATAATTAATACAAGTTCTTAGCACCTGTGAAATATAAGAGAAACAAGAATCATAACTTCTGCCATAAATAAAAATATTTCCAAGAGCCAGCAAATTTGTTGCTTGATTGGCACTACCAACTCCTTCAATTTTTCCCCAGGTGAGTAAGGAATGCTACAAATTAAGAATGTTTTTCATTATCATGATTTCTGCCTTTGATTTTTTTAAAAAAAACAAGTAAATCATGTAACTTATCTTGCTTTCTCTTCATTGAGAGTACCCCTTAAATCTTTAAAATGAGTTAACATAGAATTGATTTATTTCAATCTATTTGTACCTACATTGTGAAGATGAAGATAGATGTTTTTCTTAATTAGCACCACATATGCATTGAGTCTATCTCCAGTAGCACTGTGTCTAGAGGAGTTGATACCCCCAAGCAATCCCAACTTTAATATATATTCCAAGCTCATCAGAACAGCTCTAGTAGCTTCTACACTGGTGGTTGGTCTTTCAGTTCCCTTTTTCGGTAAGTTGTTCTTCTTCCGTATAGTTTTTATCAGTTTAGTGCTAAGAGAAGTGCCTCGACTCAACATTTTGCCAACTGACTCGAGAATTAGTGCATAAATCAAACAAGTTTTAAGTAAATTTATTGAACCAAGGTTTAAGAATGACTTTCAATTATTTTAAGTATATTTATTGAACCAAGGTTTCTACCCTCCACCTTTCGCCTTTTTTATGGTTTGTTTGTTTGTCACTCCTGGTTACAAATTTCATTAACCTATTAGCTTTGATAAATCATTTTATCATTGCACTTAGTGCTTTACTATGAATTGCATTTACTTTCGCAGGTTTGGTGATGTCATTGACTGGATCTTTACTCACAATGTTTGTTGTAAGTTCCCTTAAGATCATCTTTTTCCTCTCCTAAAGGTACTAATCATGGCTTTCATTTAAATATGTTCAACCTTTGATGCAGTCCTTGATTCTTCCCTCGGCTTGTTTCCTAAGCATAAGGGGTGGCAGAATCACACGCTTTCAGGTATGATTATTACCTCTCCATAATACTCAAGGCTTTGTAAACATACCATGTTGATTCAATGCAACTTAAAGAATACATAGGAAAATCAATAAAGAAAAACAAAAGGAATTTTGAATTGTAACGTGCTGATATCATTACAAATTTAAAACAGGATACACTTCGATTATGTAGCAAAGCTAGACCATGAGATTTTTTTTTTTTACAGGTCCAAATCTTTTCAAGCTTCTAGTGCTTGTTCTGTATTTATGATTACCTCCAATGTGACTCAAATTTTCCCCCTTATTTCTACAGATAGCACTTTGTGTTACAATTATTACAGTAGGTGTTATATCAAGTGGTTTCGGATCATACTCATCCCTCTCTGAGATAATTGAAGAATTGTTTGGATGAAGTTTTGCGGCTTAAATCCTAGACAGAGACATGTAGCAACCAAAATCTAGTGCACTTACTATTTTACACAATTTTGAGTTTCTCATCTCAATTGTTTAGTCATTTTTCTATGATAGTTGATTTCCCATTGTTTTTGTTATTGTGGTTATTTTGTGCATGTTTGATGTATCATGTATGGGCATATTTAGCCTGTGTTTGGAACTGCATTGGACATTCACGTAGGGACCCTATCGTACAAGCATAGTGTATCTTCTCATCTAACGCGTGTTATTCTTTGAGGAAATGCGGTTCCAAACATGTAGTTAATCGTACATAGTGTAGCAGAGAACCACAATAGAGATTGTAAACCAAGATTCAATGACTATATTTAAGAAAGGGTTTTGTATAGTTGGAGAATGGTCAAGAATACCAAGTGACCATTATGAATGAAAAATTGATGCATAATGTTTTTCAAAGAAACACGCTCTTGAAGAATAGTGATGATCTTGCCTCTGCTAGCAATGATTTTATGGAATATGTGGCATGTTGGAGTCAGGTTGTGATGAAGCTGGAAGGTCATGTGATCCATGAGAGGTAGTAGATGATGTCGTTGTAGTTAAGCCCCCATTAGAATTGGGATGTGATGCACTTCCGATTATGCCCCCATTAGAGTCAGGTTGTGATAAAACTGCAGGGTTATGTGATCCATTAGTAGATGATGTCGTTGTAGTTAAGTGCCCGTTAGAGTTAGGTTGTGTTGAAACTGCATGGTTATGTGATGCACTTCCGGTTAACCACCCATTAGAGTGAGGTTGTAACAAAGCTTGTGGGCCATTTGATAAAACTGCATGGTTACTTAACAAATCTAAGGTGGGGTGTGATGAGTTTGCAGTTGCGCTTGAGCCCATTAATTGCCTCCGTTCTTCCCGCGACGCCAAGACTGCATAATAATTTTCAAAAAACTCTTTGTTTTCTTTCTCAAGCTCTTCCAAAACTGAAAAATGAGGAAAGAAACTTGGAAACATATTTACAAAACTTGTTGGTTTTTGAATCTAACATGCCAATCACCAACACTAAGCTCAATATATATTAAGAAAACGCAAAATTAAACACATTCAGAATTAATTAGCATAAGTCGTAGCTTAAACACAGTTCAAAATTAATGGGAAAATAGGAATGACAATATACACAAAAGGATAATGTAAAATTTTGTGAACAAACAATTTGGCCAAATGACTATATGCTCCTAAGAACCCTTTCTCAAGGGGGAAACAATTTTGTTTTGTTGCATTGATGCCATAAACTCCATAATTATGTCCAAGCAATGTGCTAAATCCTCCGGGTTAATTACAAAATCTAAGACAGAAACTGAATGTTTTCTTCATATTTTAAAAGACTAAATACAAAATACTGCTACGGGAATTAGAGGAAAATACAACTAAAGGGATTATATGATTTCCAATTTATGAGAAAGGATGTTCCCTTTAAAATGAAATTTATTTCTTTCCCCCAATGTTGTCCTTGCCCCGTTATTAAAAGCAGCTCATAGAATATGATAGCTATACTATAACTAAACCCTATACTTCAAAGCTTAACGGATTTCAGGAATGTTCTATTCAAAGCATTAAGTTTAACATTTAAAAGGGATAGTAAATCAACTAAAATTTTAAGTTGTGTTGGATACCATAGACAAACCAAATGTCTAGCAAAACGAGGGTGGAACAAAATAAAAGGGAAAATAAAATATGCCAGTGTTACAGAACAAAAGTTTTCGATACCTAGTTCGGTGAATGCAGGTGCTATATCTGCTTGATCTTCTAGCGCTTGCACAATGTTTTCCTTATTTATGTATAGTTCCAGACAGCGCTCTATGTAAACTACCACCTGTAATTAAGCAAGCAAACAAAAAGTAATGGTTAGCAATCTCTCTCTGTGAGTGTCTTGATCCTCTTGAGTGAGATTTGAAGGGATAGTAACAACTCAGCAGTGACGATTTCAACTTAAATTGACTTACTGAGAAATCAAAGTATACTAAGAAAAAAAAGCATATCGCGATCCTTTGGTAAACTTATCAAGTCTTGATAATTTCCAAAAACTGATTAACATCCCTCAGGAATTGGGTTTGTCAATCTAGCATCCCTCAGAGGAGATAGATAATTATGTATAAAAATGTGATTGATTTCATTTCATAAGTGGTTAAAATAAATTTATAAAATTTTATGTCATTATTGACGTGGTTAATATTAACTATTTATAAGTTAAATTAAAAGACGTTTTAATAATATAATAACATTGTTAATCACTTGTGAGGTGAAGTCAACCACATTCTGGACATTTCAATAAACTCATGACACAATTAACCCACTGTTAACAGTTATATAAATAATCATGTTTAGAAACAAAATCAGTTTTATATATATAGTTAATCCCATATGCTAGTGAAAATTAATCAAGAGGTATCCATTAAACAATTATAACGATAAAATAACTAAACAAATTATTTATGCAAACATTATCTCAACCTTAAAATACATCAAGAGAGGGAGGGAGGGAGAGAGATTTAGCTTAATTACCAGATGCCTAATATCAACAGGACTCCAGTTCTCAGATCTACGCACACCCGGCACATTCGGCACACCCGGCATACTAGAAGTTCCCAAAATATGTATTGCTAACAACTACCTAGACACATAATAATACATTAAAAATAATTAATGTTCACGATTTGTGATTAATGGATGATGTACATGTAAATGTAAATTTGTTCAGAATACACAGAAATTAAACTTTTAATCTTTTACCCTCTAATCTTTACCCTCTATTTAAGCATGATACTAAAATAGGGGACTTCATGTATCCTTTATACATTTTGTAATATTGCTTATGGTACAACTTGTACCCATTAGTATTAGAAAAAAATCAATTGATAATATATCTACCATGATCACTTCCATCATATCATATATTTTACAGAAAACATAAAAAAAAATATTAAGAAAAAAAAATTATAATAAAAAGATATAGTATTGTAATATTTGTTCTATATGTGCAAATCCAAATTGAGCAGATCTTTACTCAGAGTAATTTGGCTGGTTAAAAAAAATCTCAAACAGAAAAATTCATGAATAATATCAAAATTGAAAATTATGCTAAAGATACTAAAGAACCCATTTTTAACCGTGATAGTCATTACTGATTAGTTCTCAAACATAAAAATTGCATTATGAAGTATATCTCAAATATCAAGAATAACAAGAAACTGATAATTAATGATTTGCTATTGCTTTGAACGTAAGTTGCCTAATTTAAAGACTAACTGTCGCACAATTTAAAGAATTTAAAACTTGGATTAAGCATTCATCAAACGAAAATAAAAAATGGCATAAAAAACGATGGCTCTTACCACAAACCGAAGAACTTGGTGAATCGCAAGAACCTGACAATTTGGTCACGATGAGATTGATTTCCAAAACAGAAAAACAAAAAAGACTGACACAGAAAATAAAAAAGACAAACCTGGCGGGAACGAAATATTCTCTTTATGTGAACTTCTTTCATAAATTGTGCATTCCTAACTTATTTATATTTGGAGAATTTAACCGTGGACCTGAATATCAAGTGGGCCATTCGTGGACCTGAATATCAAGTGGGCCATTCGTGGACCATGAACCCAAATTTTATAAAATAAAAAATATACTATAAATATTGTTTTAGTAGATTAATTGATTTTTAACTAAAATTATTAAATAATTTTTTTTTTGATAATTATGTTATTAATACGAAACATCTATTAATTTTATTGATCACTAATTTCTATAAAAGAACTTGACTAGTAACCTTTAATGCGTTTCTCCTTCTTATCAAGTTTTTTGAATTTACAAAATGTAATTTGGATGAGAAACTTAATGAAAGAGCTTGAATAATTATTTTATTAATTTAAATTTAAAGACAAGATAATGACATGAGTAATTATATAACAATTTGATTCATGAATTACACTTGGCATAACATAATGACATACAATATACTAGAAAACTTAAATCAACTAACATGGGATTCTCATACAAATAGTCCTTAAATATTCCTATAACATGATATATAAATATAAAGTTAAAAAAATATATAAAATAATTCGTATTTATCAAAACTTACTTAAAACATAAAGTTCTTTATGAAATTACATGAAAACAAAGCATAATGAAGATTATACTATCCCAACAACTCAAACAATTCAACATTTTACTATATCTCAACAACTCAGCCAATAAAATTTAATTTTGATTCATCTATTTTACAACATATAATAGATTCATCTATTTTACAAAATTTAGTTTAAAAGCAACTCACAATTTTACCACATTTTCTCTTAAGCAACATAGAATAATCAACACCATTCACCTCAATTCATCTTAAACCATCATCATTCAACATTATACATCTTAAAGTAACTAATTCAAATCATAAAACAACACAACATATCATCACAAGTATCTTAACTTTGGGTTTTTCAGGAACAGGGTTTCATTGAAGGAGCCTTAAGAGATTCCCCCACTCAGCAGCCAAAAGCTCTTGTGGGTCCCCTCGCTCAGTGGCCAAAAGCCCTTGTGGGTCACCTTCACCCAACAAAACTTTCTTGAGCAGGGACCTTTACCCACATTGTTTGTATTGTAAGTTCCTTTAAGCTCCTCTTTTTTCTCTCCTAAAGGACTAAGGCACTAGACACAACATTCAGTGATTATATGTTTATCCTTTGATGCAGATGCAGATGCAGTCCTTGATTCTTCCCTTGATCGGCTGGTTTGCTAAGCATAAGGGGTGGCAGAATCACACGCTTTCAGGTATGATGATTACCACTTCATTGTCATACTCAAGGCTTTGTAAACATACCATGTTGATTCAATGCAACTTAAAGAATACACAGGAAAATGAATAAAGAAAGAAAATCAAACTGAAGAATTTTGAATCGTAACGTGCTGATATCATTAAAAATTTAAAACAGGATACACTTCGATTACGTAGCAAAGCTAGACCATGTGATATTTTTTGTTACAGGACCAAATCTTTTCAAGCTTTTAGTGCTTGTTCTGTATTTATGATTACCTCCAATGTGACTCAAATTTTCCCCCTTATTTCAACAGATAGCACTTTGTGTTACAATTATTACAGTAGGTGTTATGTCAAGTGGTTTCGGATCATTCTCAGCCCTCTCTGAGATAATTGAAGAATTGTTTCGATGAAGTTTTGTGGCTTAAATCCTAGACTATGAGATATGTAGCAACCAAAGTCTAGCGCACCTACAATTCTACACAATTTTTAATTTCTCATCTCAATTGTTTAGTCATTTTTCTATGATAGTCGATTTCCCATTGTTTGTGACATTTATGAGATTACCTTGTATTTCCGATGCACATTGTAGTGTGAAATGAGAATTAAATAATAGAGTGTGAGATATGGATTAGATAGAGTATGAACATGTAATATAAAAAGTGGGAGGGAGATATAATATAATAATAGTAAATAGAATTGTAGAGAATTTGATAATAGAAGAAAAATAGTTCTTTTTAATTTTGTTGATGATTACAATGAGATGAGAGTTAGATAATAGAAAAGTGATGGATAGATTAAATAGAATGCATAGCAAATATGTAATATAAAGGATAAAGAGGAAATATAATAGAAGATAAAAATGTAAAGACAATAGAATTGTGAGAGGTGGATTGAATAAAATGCATAAAAAAAATTGTAATATAAATGATAAAGAGGAAATATAATAAAAGATGAAAATATAGAGAAATTGACACATAAGTAAATATGTTGATGTAGCAACATGTGAAATTGGTATTTTACCACCGTGTTAGTATAATAGCGTTTAGCTCAGCTTCTATATTATAAATAGATAGATTGATTGATAGACTTTCTTTTAAAAGTCTAAATTTGAAATTTTTATTAAATAAGTATGATTAGTCTTAAATAGATCAAGTCATAAATCCATATTTAAGATTTGACAGATTGACCTATTATCATCTCTAATTCTCAATAAATTTTTTAAAATATTGTATTAAAATTTCTATAATAGTGACATAAAGAGTGAAAATTATGAAAAGATCTTCTAATTATAGGTGTTTGATAATCTAAATAGACCCATTTTTTTCACTTCAATCCTAAGTTTCCATTAATTTTAAACCTTGTGTTTAAAGTTTAAACTACAGGTTCGGATTATTAATTCTGGATGTGTTAAATTTAGCGTCTTTTTAATATATATTTTAGCATAGCAGTGGTGGTCATTGGCTTCAAAAGCCACCTTGCACCCATCATTTGGTGTTGTATAAATATATTCCCAGGTTTTCTTTCCTCATTTTTTTCAATTTGGAAAACACTTGAGGAAGAAAACAAAGCGTTTTTTTTTAAAGATTATTATGCAACCTTAGCTTGGTGTTGGAAGAAAAGCAGCAATTGAACACATTGTTGCAAGAAGAGAGGCAATTAAGGGACTCAAGTGAAATTTCATCACACCCTACCTTTGAATAGTCATATAACTATGCAGTTTTATCACAACCTTTCTCTAATATGAGCAATTAAATATGCAGTTTTATATATCGTTAAGCAAGAAAATCTTTAAATTAGAAGTTATGAAAACTTTCAAAGAATTTAACCTTAGAAATTTATTTTTTCTTAGTGCAAGGTTGTGATAAAGCTACATAGTTATGTGGCCCATCAAAGGTAGGTGTGATGGAAATGCACTTTAGCCCATTAATTGCCTCTCTTCTTCTAATAATGTGTTCAATGGCTACATTTTCACCAACCCCAAAGTTGCCTAATAATCTTAAAGAAAAAACCCTTTGCTTTCTTCCTTAAGCTTTTGCAAAATTGAAAAATGAGGGAAAAAACATGGGAGTATGTTTATAGAACTCCAAATGATGCATGTTGCATGATTGTTGGTTTTTGAAGCCAATATGTTAGTCACAAAGACTATGCTCAAATATATATTAAAAAAAATTGAATTTCGATTTATAAAAATGTTTAATACAAAATTATCAGTAAGTTGTTGGTTCGGATAGAACATGAACAAGATGATTAATATGACAAATAAACACCTAGAAAATGATGATACTAACCATTCCAAAAGTCGAGGGGAGAGGAGGTAAAGAAGCATGCCAGTGCTACAGAACAGAAGTTTTCTTACCTAGTTTGGTGAAATCAGGTTCTATTTTTGCTTGATCTTTTAACACTTGGATAGTTAATTTCTTCCTTATTCATATTTAGTAACAGACAATACTCTATCAAAATGTGCACCTGTAAGATTTAAAGGGAGGGTGAACAAAACAACTCAGGAGCGATGATTTCAATTTAAATTGTCTTACTAAGAAATCAAAATATAATAAGAAAATTCAATGCTGGTCCTGAGGATTGTTTGAAAGTGGAACTGCTGAGGACCCGTGTCTTAGAGGGGGTGGCAGAATCACACTCTTTCAGGTATAATGGTTACCTCTTAATAGTAATACTCAACGAGTCAAGGCTTTGTAATCATACCATGTTGATTCAATGCAACTAAAAGAATAGAAAGGAAAACGATACACAATTCGATTATGTAGCAATTCTAGACCATGAGATATTTTTGTTACAGGACGAAATCTTTTCAAGCTTTTAGTGCTTTTCTATAATTATGATTACCTCCAATGTGACTCAATTTTTCCTCAATTATTTCTACACATAGCACTTTGCTTCACAATTATGATAGGTGTTATATCAAGTGGTTTCGGATCCTACTCAGCCCTCTATGAGATTATTGAAGAATTGTTTGGATGAAGTTTTGCGGCTTAAATCCTAGAATATGATATATGTAGCAACCTAAAATTCTACACAATTTTTAATTTCTCATCTCAATTGTTTAGTCATTTTTCTATGATAGTTGATTTCCCATTGTTTGTGCAAGTTAGCTTGTGTTTGGAACTGCAACTGCATTGGACATTCACGTCGTGACCCTTTGAGGAAATGCATTGGCCATGCATAGTGCAGCAGAGAAGCACAATAGAGATTGTAAACCAATTAAGATCCAATGACTTTATTCAGGAAAGGGTTTTGTATAGTTGGAGAATGGTCAAGGATACCAAGTGACCATTATGAATGAAAAATTGACGCATAATGTTTTTGATATACTATCTAATGATTTTATGGATTACGAGGAATATTGTTGGAGTGAGGTTGTGATGAAGCTGGAAGGTTATGTGATCCATTAGATGTAGCAGATGATCCATTAGAGGTAGCAGATGATCCGTTAGAGTTGGGTCGTGATGCACTTCCATTAGGGAGAGATGTGCTTGCAGTTGAACCCCTTGATTGCCTCTCTTGTTCCAGCGAACTCAAGGTTGCATAATAACCTTGAAAATACCCTTCGTTTTCTTCCTCTAGCTTTGCCCAAACTGAAAGCATATTTATACAACATCAAATCATTGTTTTTGAAGCCAATCACCAAGACTATGCTCAAATATATATGAAATGAACACATCCAGAGTCAAGATCTTTCAACTTTAGCACAAGAATAAAGAAAAACATGCGTATGCTACATAACAAAAGTTTTGGCTACCTATTTTGGTGAGTTCAGGATCTATTTCATCTTCATCTCTTAACTTCTGCACAATTTCTTCCTTAGTCAAATATCGTCTGAGACCGCGCTCTATCAAAATGTGCACCTGCAATTAAGCAACCAAAGAAAAAGTTAAGGTTACCAATCTCTCTATGGGAGAGTCTTCATCCTCTTGGGTGAGATTTGAAGGGAGAATGAACAAAACTGTGAATCTCTTGTGATTAATTTCATTTCATATGTGAATAGAAATAAATTAATATAATTTTATATAATTATTGACCTGGTTAACATTGACTATTCATAAGATAAATTTAACAACTATTAGACATTTTAATAAACATTATTAATCACTTGTGAGATGAATTAACCACATTTTGGGCATTTCAGTAAACTCATGACACAATTAACCACATATTAATAATTATATATAACATGTAACAGAGAAAATTAACCAGCAAGAGAAATCCATTAAACGATTATAATCTTAAAATAAGTTAGAATTAGTCAGAAAAAAATTATGATTACATCCTTAAAATCCATAGAAAAAATTATGGAAAGTTTCTAGCTTAATTACCTGTATAACTTCTTCAGGGCTAACATCTCTCCAGATCACAGATCCACGAAGACCCGGCATATTTGAAGTTCCCAAAATATGTATCGATAACAACTACCTAGAGACATAATAATACATAAAAATTATGATTTCTTGGCTATGTAAACTTTTTTCACAATACATAGAAATTAAACTTCAATATTTTACCCTCTATAATTAGACCCTAAACCCTAAATATGTAAACTATTATCCTCTATTTGTCTCGTAGGAAAGAAAACAAGAGAGAGAAAATTTTGAGTCCATACTGAAAAAGCATTTACATAAATAATATCTTTACCAAAAAAAAGTACTAAAGAACTCATTTTTAACCATGATAGTAATTACTTATAAGTTCTCAAACAGATAAAAATTGCATTTTTATATAAAAAATATATCAAGAATAACAAGAAACTGATAAAGTAAATATGATTACAAAATAAAATAAGATCGTTAATAACGAGTTAACAAGCAGCAGCAATTAATAGGTAATTTAATGACACCCTATTGCACAATTAAAAGATTTTTAAAGAAAGATTAAGCATTCCTGAAAAAACATGGCAGAAAATATGATAACACTCACCACAAACAGAAGAACTTGGTGAATCAAAAGAATGGGACAATTTGATTACAGTGAGATTGATTGTGTGCCTATTACGAAGATAGAAAAAATAAGAAAGAATGAAAGATGAAAGAGCCAAATGCTTAATCGATAGAGAGAGAATGAAAAAGATAAACCTGGCGGGAAGGAAATATTCTCTCTATTGTAAACTTCTTAAAAAAATTGTTCATTCCTATCTAATATTTATACTTTAAATTTAGAATAACCGGTCAAAACTCAAATCTTGAAATCTTGATAATCTTGATAACAGATTAACTACTTTTACAGTTGGTTCATCATTTCAAATTAGTTACCGTAACCGTCACGTATTTATTATTAATTATTAAATATGTAATAATGTAGATAATCGATAAAAATGTTAACTATTATTTCAATTAAATTATTCATGTTTACGTAAATATATATATATATATAATATTACTATCAAAATATATATATATATATATATATATATATGTATATATATAATAATTATAAATACCCTTGAAAAATTAACTTGTTAATTGAAAAATTAACTTGTTAACAAAATTGGATTTTGATAGAATGTCTTTTATAAATATAATATAAATATATATATATATATAATATAATAATTCACTAAATTATTTATAAATATCTCATATCTCATTATAAATAATTTTAATTTAAAAGATAAGTAAATTCAATATTTATTTTAATCAAATATACAAAAAAAAATTAAATATAGTAAATTAATGAAAATAAATTTTAATTTAATGATAATTTTCAAAATACAATTTTATATTCCAATATTTTTCTTTTTAATTTTTTCTTCATTAGTCTTTATCTTTTAAATGAAAATCAGTTTTATTCATATTTAAACGCAGACTATTTTAAAAATTTTTAGAGTTGGATTACCGAAAGAGGTTATTTTAATTTTTAAACAGCATTTTTCTCTTGTGTTTTAGAATTTCATTTTATAAGAGTTGTTTGGCATTGAGATACGAAGCTTTTTGTCCACTAGGGTAGATGGAAGTTAGGGCTTACCAATTCATAAAATGTAAAAGTAAAATGGTAAATACTTTAAATCAAATTAATATTTGAAAAATGTCATTTTTTTATAAAAAAAATATTTGCATAATTTTTTTTATGAATTTTCTTACATTAATAATTTTACAAAAACTTTTTATGAATTTATTTATGAAAAATAATTTACAAAAATTTCTTGCAAATTTTTTTATGAAAAATAATTTACAAGAAAATTTTGTAAATTTTACTACAATTTTTATGATCATAAAAAAAAATTTTCATGATAAAAATTTACAAAAAATATTGTAAGAATTTTTTTTTTCTTGCAAGTTTTCTTATAAACATAAATTCACAAATAATGTTTATTAAATAATAGAAAAATTTTGCACGTAATTTTTCTTACGTATTTTCTTGTCAATTTTAATTCGCAAGAAAAATAAAAAAAATGTTTAAATTTATAAGTTTAATAATTAAAATATTTTTAATTAAAAATGTTGTTATTTTAACTAAATTAAATATATAAATTTTATAAATATAATAAATTAATTATAATGAATTTTGATTTAATGGTAATTTATAAAATTTTAAAATTAAAAGAATTTACTTAATAAATATTATTTTACTAAATTATTTATAAATATAATAAACTAATTTTCTTTTTAAAGACATGATCTAATTAATATTTAAAGAAAACCTCAAGTCTCACATTGATTAAAAATAAAATAACTAAAAAATATATAAGTTGGGGCAATATTTAGCTGACAAGTTGATTTTATATAGTTGAGTATTATACCTATAATCTATGATCTAAGAGTTTAAAAGATTATGCATCATATGTTGGAGGAGGGAAAGCAAATTTCTTAATGTTTCGGATGAATTCATTGTGAACATTTGAAAGTTGAAGAATTATTAATAGAATTTGCACAAAAATTACCTTTGAATTTTAAATTCGCAATAAACTTTTTGTAGTAATTTTTTTGATTTTTTTTTTCATGTAAGAAATTTCCTTGCAAAATTTGTTGCAAAAAAATTTTGTAAAAAAATTTCTTGTAAATTTTAAAATTCACAAAAATATATTATCCACAAAGGTATTACGTGAAGATAAAATTTCATCAAAAAATTGTAGGAAAGTTTCCTGTGAATTTTTATACAAAATTCGCATGAAAATTACATATAATAAAAGAAATTTTAGTAAGAAATGTAGGGAATGTTGAATATATAACTTTTTTTTCTAAACACACACTAGATCTTATAATTGATTCACATTTTTATAACTTGTAATGTAATTTTTGGCCAAGTAATTATGTCTCAGTAGAAATTTTTAATCGTAAAGTCAATTTTCCCAAAATGCTTAAAACGTTAAACTTCAACAAACTTTACATTCCTCAAATCAACATGTATTTGTGTTTTTTATGAAAATTTTTAATATTAATATATTCATGTGTTGTAAATGTAATGGTTTATTATATTAAAAAAAGTGTTTCCTACTACACTCTTTGGTGAAAATTGTTTACTTAAAATTGAGACAATAAAAAATATCTTATTAATATGAAAAATAATATCGATATAAAATTATTTAACTTAATTTTAAATTATCTGAATTTAAGATTAAAATTCAAATTAAATAGAGCATTTTTTAAATAATTAAAGCCAAGCTAAATGATTATAAAAGTTTTTTTAAGCCTATAAGTAATCAAACATTGAAAAATAAATAAATATCCGAAACTTATAACAACCTTTCATATTCAAACACAAATCATTAATTTAGTCCAAATTATTTCTCTAATAATATAAATAAGAATAAATGATATGTCTTAAAATATATACTATTTATAATAAATGTAATAGGCTAACAAATTTATATTATTAGTATTTTTTTATATTATGATACATGTAAAAAAATTTGGATTACCTAAGTTATTATTATATTAGCTCGTACTACAATATTGTATGTATTTTGCTTTTATGCATGCTTATATGATTTGTGATGTTTTGTAGTATTTTAAGTTGTTATATTATTTTTTTAGTTGTTTTATAGAGCTTTTAAGATTTAATGAATCCTTAAGAACAAAGTTGTTAAGAGTTGTTTAAGTTAGGGTCAAGATTGACCAAGAATAGGATAAGGTATAAAAGGCCTTTAAAAAATATGAACTTCATAAGTTTATCTCTCTAAATTCTAGAGAGAAGTTTTAGAGAGATAAACTTTGGGGTTAAGGAATACATTTTCTTCTTCTGACTTCACCAAGCATGCCTATCTTTTCTCGATGATGAGATTAATCTCCAAAACAGAGATTCAAGCTTGAAGAACTCAAGGGTGTAGAGAAAAGTTGACTTTAAGGGTTTAAGATTTTGTCCCTTTTTCTTTAATTCTTTGTTTCTTGGAAGAAAATTGAGATAAATAAAACTTGTTATTTGATTAATTTAAGTTTTTTTTTGTTATAATTTATAATGTTTAGTCCATTGGTGACAATTTGAGTTGAAATAATTAATGATGACTTTAGTTGAAATTGTGGAGTTTTAGGGAGGAAGCACCAAGACCTAAATTTTGGGCAAGTCCCTGATGTATTAGTGTTACATGCATGTTAGTTTTGATATTGGATTTGTTTTATTTAAGTTGTTTAGAATCAAATTTATGGTTTGCATGATGTTTATGGAGCTTGGATGATATGGGAGATTGCATGGAGCATCCATTCATGCCTAGCGAAAGGGTATACTTATCGAGTTAGCCTTCAATTTCGAAGGCCAAAATCCTAGAAAACACATTATCTTCCAAGGACGCATTGATCACGTAATCAGAATGTATGAACTTAAAGAACTCTATGAAGTGAGTTAGAATTTTTAGGTAACAGATGTTGTAAGCTTGTTGAGTCACAAATTTTTGTTGAGCATGCTAACGTCTTAAATAAATTTTTAGACCCTCAAAATGGGGAAATTTTTATTTTAGTCTTTTTTAAATTATATTTTTCAATTTTATACCTATAAATTTTTTTATTTCATTTTTGTCTTTATCGTCTGAGGGGATATCTTTTTTTTTTTTTGTTAGACTATAACTAGCAATCTAACCTTAATTGTAGTGTTTGGACTTGAGTTGTTGTATAAAGTTTATGTTCGAATTTTCTTTTAAGTTGTCTACTTCTATATTTATGCATGATTAGTCTATATTTTTACATGTTTCGCCTAGATGTTATATGTTTAGCTTTAGATAATTATTTTTTTCTTTGTAAGGGTATTGATCATAATGGATCACACACTTTTGTGATCGTTAAATATAATAGAAAAAAACAAAAAAAATTATAGAGACCAAAAATATAAAAAGCAATAAAATTATAAAGACTAAAATTTAAGCCAACCAAAATGAAACACCAAAAATTTGGGATGACCGGAATGAAAACAACAAAAAATTGAGAAGACCTAATAAATATAAATAACTTAAATTTAAAAGATCAAACCAATAACCTACCGTGGAAGGAACAACACCTACCCCATGTATCCATTCTCGACCTAGCAGGACATTAAAATTCACCTTCGATGGCGCCACTATAAACATAGTAGTCCTCTTCACACTCCCAATCTGCACATCCAACAAAATCATACCTTCGGGGTGTGAGGACTTTCCTGCGTAGTCCGATATCATGATGTTGTGAGGCTTTAAGTCAGCCAGAGATTTCCCAAACCTTTTCAACATTGTTTTGGGCAAGATATTCACAGCGGTGCCTCCATCGACTAAAACCTTATTCACCTACTGCCCCTCAATCATCAAAGTTAGCAACAGGGGCTTGAGGTGTCCTTTCATTTCCTCGGTGGGAGAGTCAAACACAGCTGAGTTGAATTTGGGTACAACCCTCGAGATTTGATTGACCCATATAATCTTGGACTCATAATTGGGGTCCTCGAAGACGTCTTCCCTGTTGATATCCTCTTGTTCATTCACGGATTCCATAGCACCAGCATACTCCGAAGGTAAAATGGAAACTACCCCGCAAATATCTTCCAGAGAATCCTCGAAACCGCTCTCGAAGCAGTCCGTTATCATGTCCTCATCGTCTTCGATGAACTTTCTAGAGGACTCCCCTTTTTGAGGAACTGGAATCGAAAAACGATTTCCCCCCATACCTTCAAAGGTTGCTTTTCGCATCCTTTGCTGCCTCCTCAATTGGGTTTTGGTTAAGTTGTTAAATGGCTGTCGAAAGCCACGTCCATATCCCCCAGCTGAAATTCTAACATTCCCCGTAGTCAAATTCGAAAATTTTCCTGCATTTCCCTGTACCGGGTTTCCCATGCTAGTCATTACTTGTTTACCTCGACCCATTATAGGCCTAGGTGGTGCATTCCATCTTCCAACAGGTACATTCGCGTTCGGCACAAAAGTATTGCCGAACCTAGACGAGTTATACATCTCCATCTTCCCAACTGGGGCATTATATTGAGGCATATGAACTTGCCTCATGGTCAAACCAGCATTCGACCTAGCATTGGGTTTCGCTTTCTCACGCAGCTTCTCAGCTTTGTAATTCTTCATCATTTCTGACTCTTCGAAAGCCTTAGCCGCTGCCCTATCGAAGACAGCACTGCATCGAGGACACAACATGACCTCTTTATCAGCTTCTTTTTTCTTCGTTTATTCGAACTAGCACGACAAATGTTTCAATTTAGGTATATTACGTTTTGAATTTTGAGGAACAAGAGAACATGGAGTAGAGAGATTAATAATTACTTGTTTTTAAATATTCATCAATAATTAACAAGTAATAATTTTCATGCACATAAATACTCAGATGAACAAAATGAACAATACATATATTTGCAATACAGATCATGGTTCACTTGCATAGAATTACAATTGAAATGTTGAAGCATAATTATGCAACTAAACTACATGATTAACAAAAGGAAACTACACTAATTCTAATCCTAAAAAGAGAAAAGAAAAGTGGTCGAGAAGTAGTCATACCCAAAAATAATTCCTTGCACGAAAGCCATATGCGCAGGCGGAGAGTGCTTGAAAGTTCAGTTCATGTATGAGTTTTCTGACCTCTTGTATGGGGTATGGTTCTCGTATTTATAAACTCTCCTCGAGGGTGGTTACTCCTGCGTGAATCCATCATGGGCGCATAACTGTCATCCACTACGTCCTTTACGTGGGTTTAATATATATATATATATATATATATATATATATAATGAATGTATTGGTGATTAGTAAAAGAGATTATAGAAAATTAAATGCACAATTTTGTAATAATCATAATGATACAATCATCTTTACAAATGCACAAAAAAGAAAAAAAAAAAAAAAAAAAAAAAAAAAAAAAGAAACGAAACATAAAATAAGGGTACAACTTGTAGTTTATTTTATGTTTTTGAGCCTCTTGATGAATAAGGGTACAAGTTGTATCTTGTGTTGTATGGTTTTAAGCTTTGTTGCTTATATGTTGTATGCTTGGTAAGTAACTTAACATTTTATCTTTATTTAGATGATGATTGATGACTTTGATAATTGTTAAGATTGATTTGTAAAAAGAAATGGTATGAAAAATCAAGATATTAAGTTTTCACTTAAAATAATTGATTATTTCAAGTAATAATCGATTATTTGCTTTGTTATTTCAGTTACATGAGGAAAAATTGTTGTAATAATTGATTATTGATCAAAATAATTAATTATTTAAGAAACAGGTCTCTAGAATAATTGATTATTGGTAAAAATAATCAATTAAAATGCTCTGGGTTGATTTCCAGAATTACTAAGAACATAATAATCAATTATTTCAGTCAAAAAACTTATAGGTATCATCTTTCACACCTTAAACAAAGAGACATGAATCTTTGTGATATCATTTTACGAAAACACTCTCTATAACACATTTCTCTTATTAAGAAAAGATTCATTGACCTTTGTGGTAACCTCAAGAAAGTTTCAAGAATTGAGTTGATCATCATCTTCATAGGATGAAAGGCTAAGTTACATGGTTGATTTACATTCTCTAATTTGTTTTATAAATCAGGTGAATTCATTCCTTAATTTTATGTATTTGTTGTTATCTTAAGTAGGTTTCTTAAGAGGAGAGAATCTTGTAGTGGGGTGCTACAAGTAAGTGCTTCTTGGAGTTCAAAAAGTGGGTTCTTTAATAGTGTAGAAATATATTGCATGTGATATTGTGATTGTAAAACTTTTGACATTAAAGATTAGTGGAAAATCTAAATTGAGTTGATTGGGGACTAGATGTAGGTCACAAGTGAATGTGATTGAACCAATATAAAATTGGTTGTGCATTCTTTTCTACCCAACACTTGAATTCATATTCTTGCATTTCTGTTTTCATGTTTATTGATATGTGTTGTTGGACATGTTCATAGCATTAAGAATTAAATGAATTTAGACTTGTATTAAATCGGAACTTAATATCCTATCTAAAAGCTATAAGTCAACACATTTCTTTGGAAAAAAATTTAAAAAAGTTTTAAAAACTAAGAAAGCTACGCAAAAAACTTTTAAAGACCAATTCACCGATCCTTTTGGTTAGGCCATCTTTTCTAACATAGTTTTCAATCCAACCAGATTGAATTCTACTATCTTTGAACGAATATACAAGTATTCTTTCAACAAGTCACTTCTTGTTCAACCCTAAATATTCTTTGACTTGTCTCTTTAAACAACTATCCAAGTATTCTTTTAACAACAAGTCTCTCCAAGCTTAACAACCAAGTATTCTCTTATAATCAAGCCTCTCTAGGCTCAAAATAAGGATTATTTTACAAACAAGTATCTCCAAGCTCAACCTTATAACAACGGTTATGAATGTTATACAAATGTTGTGTTTGTCTTACTTAAACATTATACAACCAATATAGAGCACTTAGTGTTTGCAAGAAAGAATAAATTTACAGAGAGTGTTTTTGTATAATTTTATATATCGCGTCTCTTATGTAATGTTTCTTGAGTTTTGAATCTTCTTACATAGTAGTTTAGAGAAGATGATCATTGTAACACTTTGAGTCCAATTTACAAGTTTGCTTTGTCCATCTTCATTGTCTTTCCTTGTGCTGGCATGTGACCATTCGACTCATTTAATGCGATAATTAAATACATTTTTCTAAATGGTACCTCTTATCTAATTAAAGAGACTACTTATAAACTTTTCATACCAAATGGAACTTACAGAAGCAACGTCAACGTAGAACAGCTGTAGCAGTGACTTTATTTACGTTTCTTCGTGATTTCAGGGATCCTAATTCTGACAGAAAGCATAGTTCTTCTCTTTAACATATTTGTGAGTTCCAATATGACTTTCTAGTTCAATCTATTAAAGAATGAAGCATTCAAAACAAACTTTGTCATTAGTCTTATACATGATCTATGTCTTACACTTCATCTGATAATCTTTTTAAAGATTTTCCTCAAAGATGTTTTGTAGACATTTCTTCTTTATAAAAATATTTTTGTTTGTTAGGATTGAAATTCTAAGTTCAAGGGATATAGATCGTCTTTTGACTTAACAATTTTTTTTTAAATAATATAGAATCTTTCACTCTAGTTTTTACTACCAAAAAAGAGACATTATGTATTTCTATGTATTTTATTTAAATAAAAAAATAGAAAGATAAAAATAATAGTAAAAATAAAAGTTAAGATAAAATAGGTGGTGATCATTAAAAAAAAAAAAAAGAGGTGGTCAATTATGGTAGGTTAGAGAGAAAACTAGAATAAAGATATATAGTATGTGTTTGGTAATGAAGAAAGAAATGAAAGGAAAATAAGAGAAAATAGGTGTGGAGAAGTATAGGAAAATAAGTAAGAAATAGAATAAAAATAAAAAATATTTGGTAAAAGAGAAATAGATTGAAAATAGAGTGAAAGTATTTTTTTGTTAATAATTTTATCTATAAATAATAAATAGAATTTATTTTTATTTCTATATTTGTTATTATTTTTAGAAGATTAATTTTCATAAATAATTTTATTCAAAATTAATAAATAAAATTGTTTTTGTTATTATTATATATATTTGTTAATGTTATTATTGTAAGCTTACTTTTATAAGTAATTTTACTTAAAAATAATTTATTATTATCATTGTTGGTAGTTTAATTTTTATTAAAAAAGCATTTAAAGATAATAAATAAAAAATCAATTTTTATTATAATTTATATATTATATACAATTGAATCCTATTTTTACAAAAAGTGAAATTCTTCACATTTCTCCTCAATTTGAAAGGGAAGTTTTACATACCGGAACTCCACCATAAAATACCTTTTCTTCTCTCCTCTTCCATCATACTATACACACTCCAAGTCTCGATGAGAATAAAAATACTTATCCATGTATAACTAACTATGCACGTGGAATCGTAGAAGTATAATAAAAAATTAAAAAAGAAAAATAAAAAGTGAAAAAAGATAAGTAAAACATTTGTAATATAATTTAAACAATCAATAAAATAGAGATAAAAAAGTAATTGAATGTAAATGTATTTCTATTATTTATTGATATATATATATATATAAGGAAAGATTTGTTTAAGTCTATCTAAACTTACTTTATTCAATAACTCATATTTTATATCAAATCTCAATGATCCAATCGTTAAATTTAAAGTCCTTATTACATATATTAAATTTGTAAATTTTTTTAAAAATTTGAATGCTATTTGATATGTCGTTTCATTAATTCAAATTGACAAATGATATGTTTTTATGATTATTCGTTAATTTGAATTAATAAAACGAAATATCAAATAATTTTTAAATTTTTTTAAAAATTTACATATTTGATCTGTGTATTAAAAACTTTAAATTCAATGATTGAATGGAATAAATATAGATAAACTTATTTTTGAAATAACCGGATCCCTCTTATATATATATATATATTTAAAATAGGTATATAGGTTTAACATATATTATGTTCATTTAATGTATATTCTCCAGCTTTCTTGAAATTTAATAATTATTTTTTATAATAATAATTTGATAAATATTTTATGTCAATAGTATAATTATCTCTTTAAAAACAATTATTAATAAAAAAAACATTGTTAAAAAATAAAAATATCGAAGCCCATGGCACACTAATTTCCAAAGAGGCGTGAAGCGAGGAGCAGGAAAATCCCGTGTCACTTGATGACTCCCTGTGATATCATTCCTTAAAAAAACCACTACATGCTGTTTGAGTTTGACCAATTACCACTCCCACTTTCTCTCCTTTTCCCCGCAATGTCGCAACATCTTCGGATTCTTCAGCCTCCGCCACTCTCCTCACCACCCAACCCAGATTCCCAGCCTCTGCGCCTCAGCTTCGGATTCCCCTTCGGATTGAGGTTCGGCTTCCATTCCTCCGCGTCTCGCCCAATTTCCGTCTCCTGTGGCTGCGGGCGCCAAACCCCTCCGCTTGGGTTGAGTCAGGAAGAGACCGCCAGTGGCAGTGGCTCCGTTCGTCTTCAGCCAATCTCTAGCGAAACCGACTTCGATCGTGTCCTCGCTCAGGCTCAAACGCTCCACCACGCCCTCATTATTGTTTGGTAGGTTCCTTCTTCAACCTTCAACATTCAACATTCAACAATAATACTCTTTCTTCTTTTTCTCCCGATTCAATTAAATTAGCTATACATTTGTTTGTTTGTTTCTGTTGCTTTCTCTTCTATTATTCGGAGAGAAAGAGGTACCAAGTGCCTCTAAGTTTTTTTTTTTTTTTTTTTTTTTTTTTTTTTTTTTTTTTTTTTTTTTTTTTTTTTTTTTTTTTTTTTTTTTTTTTTTTTTTTTTTTTTAAGATAGGAAACATTAAAAAAATAATCACGAAAGATTGAACTTTCATGCTTCTAACCTCTCCCCTTTTAATCACTATGTTAACCTTAGTACCTCTGAATTTAACACTAGTGGAAGAAAAAGGCACCGTATTTCTTTGTTAAAATTATAAAGTAAATTAGTCAAAATTTACTAACAACAAAATAAGTATAAGTTATTTTTAAAAATAAAATAAATGTGGATTGTTAAAAATGGAATAAAGAGTTTTTAAGTAGTTGTAGTAGGATGGATAGTTTTTGTTAAAAATGGCCAGAGAATAAGGGTAGTTTAAGAAGTATTTGTAAGGATAAAATTGTCTAAATAATATATTTAAAAATGTGGTAATTTTTTTTTATAAATAGTATAAATTATTATTATTATTATAGTTTAAATATGTTTTTAGTTATCTGTAGTTAGTTTTATTTTATTTTGTTCTCTAAATTTTAAAAATATTTTTTTTAGCTTCTGTGATTTTAAAAAAATAATCTGGTTTATTTCTGCCTAAACTTTTTTACAATCCGTCACACAGAATCCACTTAACAGTATTTATTGATGAAAAAAATATCATATCAATAAAATGCATAACTGAATATGCTCCGGTGACTGATGTTATAAGTCGTCTTAGAAACTAACACAAAACTCTTTTGAAATTATGTGGGCTAAAGGTTTTTTAAATTTGGAGACGGAAGAAAAAGAACTTATCCCAATTATTTGAAATTTTTTATGGAAAGTTTAAAAATATATTTAAATTTAATAATAATAATAATAATAATAATATTAAAATGATCCATTGGATCAATAGAAAAGCTAATTTTTACTCTTTTAATTTTATATATTTATAGTTTTGGGTGTACCGCAAATTATCGGTAAATTTTTGCCTACATTTAGATCCTATAAGGTTATTTGAATAAACTTTTTAATAGTTATTTATAGAAGAAGAAAAAAATGAAATAACTAAATTAGTTTACACATAAATAAAATTAATTTAAAAAAATGTAATTTGGGAGAACTTTTGCAAATTATTACATACAATTATGATAAACGAATTTTAGTTTTTTTAAAATATATTTTTCTTTCTAGTGTTCATCGAGAAGTTTAGTCATAGAAAAAACAAAGTAATTTAATACTGTGTTTACCTTTACACTATCATCACATCATGACTCATAATATAATTGAAAATTATTTACTTTTGAAATAATTCCGATCAAAGTAATATGTGATAATTGAAAAAATCCCAGTCACATAAATCTATCCTAAATTCATTAAAAAAAATGTTACTTACCATGTTATTAACATGTTGGTTGTAAGGGATATATATTGAAAAATAAAAATCCAAATCTTACATTGGCTAGAAATAAGTCAAAATAAAATATATGAGAATAATCCTACTTTACACACTAATTTTGTAAAGTTGAATTTGATTCATAATTAGTTTGAATTGAGACCGAGGTGATTTCCATTTCGTTGATACATGAGAGAGTAAAAATTCTTACCACATTGTATGTCAAAATTAAACTATTATTATTATTCATGAATTTTTAGACCCGCTTAATCTTTTGCTTTCTCAAGTTTCAGGTGAGGAGCTTTGTGGGGAAATATAACTATCTACCAATATAATTTACAGATAGAGATTTGATCAAAAGGGAAAATAACAAAATAAATGAATATGATACAAGGTGCCCCTTTAGTCTGCCCTATTGTACTTGTTGCCATATGGAAAGATTTCCTAGCCTTAATTAAGCATGACTTACTTTATTTAGTTTTTCTTTTTTGGTTTAACTGAACATGTTAATCAAACTGCATTGTTGAGGTACCCAAACCGTGGTTTATGGTTACACATTTATGAGGACCAACTTATCAAATTTTGTCATTAATGGCAACAATTTATTTATTCATTTAATTTGAAAATTAGTTTATGCTAGCAGAAAGTCAGAAACAATCTTACTGGTTGAGCATTTGAACTGCTAAAATTCAACTTGTGACACACTTGGATGGATGCCCTGTTATGATCAAGAGTCAAGACACTGGTTTGTTTGTTAGGGAAATGTTAGCATTGCAATTTTTTCAACCCAATCTTTATTAGTGGGTAAAGTCAACGTAGGTCCTACTAAATGATATGGAACCCCAATTCTATTTAATTGGTCATGTATGAATTTAATCTAATAATAGAAAGTATCGTAGAAAGAGGGTGTAGCTTTGCGATATATGTTATGGTAATTTGAATTTCTTAGTTTCCAAAAGCACTTAGGAAGGATGTCTTGTATTATACATTTCATAAAAGAGAAACTTATATTTCTTTCATTTTTCTGTTTAGTGAATAAATCTTTATACCGGTATGGGATTAAGAGTGTGTAGCTTTGCGATATATGTTATGGTAATTTGAATTTCTTAGTTTCCAAAAGCACTTAGGAAGGATGTCTTGTATTATACATTTCATAAAAGAGAAACTTATATTTCTTTCATTTTTCTGTTTAGTGAATAAATCTTTATACCGGTATGGGATTTGAGGTGAGATTTCGTGGTTGTAGGATGGCAAATTGGTGCAGAAAATGTATATATTTAAAACCAAAATTGGAAAAGTTGGCAGCAGAGAGTTATCCAAGGTGAGATTCCATTTTGTTTTTCTTGGTTTACAATCACGCATAATTAGAATAATTTCAGAGCATGTTATAGGTTGGCTCTCTTGTCCTTGAACCAATGGAAAATCCAGTCCGGTGCATACATTGAGTCATTACGAGAGACCTTTCCTTTATAACCCCTTGGCACTCATTCACCGTGGATTGAAAATTCCTACCTCATGAAACATAAATCTCTCATTTGGGTTTTTATTTTTGAGCTAGAGCATTTGGGAGAAATCTATCATGTTTGCTTGTTATCGAGCTTGTTATTTATACTGCAAGTGCATTAAGTACAAGTTCTAGTCAAGGACTTGTAGTTGATTGATTCCAACTAAAGAATTTAGATTAGCATTTTAAAGAATTTAGATTAGCATTTTAAAGCTGAAGCTTATTAAGCTTGCAACATGTTAAAGGAAATATGCTCACAAGTCACAACAGAATGTTGGGCTTTACCCAAATTCCCGTTTTCATAATCATTGATACTTTACTGTTTCAGTTGTAGATTCAAATTTTGACTGTAATTATCAAATAATGCTGATATGTGGATATTTGCATTTTAAAATTGGAAACAGGGGAAGTTCTAATTAATGAGTGTATATGGGTGCTGGCTTATTGAGCAACGTTTTCTGGGATATAAGTATTTGTATAAGGGAACGTTTTGAGGTATGCAACTTATTCTGTAGAAGTTGTAATAGCAAAATAAAAGGGTTTGCAACTTCATTTTTTTCACAAGTGTGAGAGAGGGTCTGCAGTTTTTCTTTCAAAAAATCGTGTTGTATTTTCCGAGGATTTAGTCTTCTAATCCACAGATGTAGGCATGTTAGCCTGAACTATGTTAAATAAGTGGAGTTAACACTCACCTTATAAGTCAGTTTTATAGAGTTGAGTAAGGTCTAATCTCACATTCTTAAGGTGATATAAGAGTCTATTTAGAGATTGTTGTTTGACCTATAGGATTACTTGGTATCAGTACATTATCAGAATACCTGTTATTGAGTTGTTATCAAACCATCTGAAAATGTCTAATCCTACAAACTTCACATTTAAGATGTTCAGCCTTTAGTGTGAGAGATGTGTATTGGAGATACAAGTGAGGGACAATTCTCATTTTACAAGCTGACTATTTTTGTAGGGTTGAGTTTGTTCCGATCACTAATTCTAAATAACTACTATTTATCAAGCTTAGATTGGAATGTGATATTCTCTAAACACTAAAACCAAAGAATGCCAAAATCTAAAAGAACCCAGCCCCTCTCAACTAAAGAACTTAGGCTATTCACATGCTCCTTGAATAATAACAAGTCTTTTGTTGATGTCCTTGGCAAATAACTCAATGAGGCGTATGACTATTACCCTCCTCAACCTTCTTCAGCTTCTTCTTGCCATACTAGTGTACTACCAGTTCTTTCACATACATATCAAGAATGACACGGATTAGTAGTTTTCGGCCATTCTCTTCAGTTATACCCTCAATCTCAAGCTTGTAATTTGAACACGGGATTTCAACAACCTAGTAACAAAAAAAAAAACCTGACCTAATGCTCAAAGTATTCACTCCACGACTGATTGTCAGAAGAATAATGATCACCAATTCAATAAACTTCTCACTGACACACTTCAATAGCCTCAACACACATCTTTCATCAAAAACACGAGAACACCTTTTCCAAAGTCATGAAACTACTATAATTAACAGCTACCAGAATTCAACACTAAAAGAATACATAACCTGAACCACCAATACCATGTTGAAATAAACTAATAAACTGTAATTGAGAAATTGTGTACAGACGGTCCATTTTGTACTACAAGTGCATTAAGTTAAAATTCTAAGAAACATTAATTGCAGAGAAAGTAACTGCTATTAACTGCCACACGATTATAGTTGCTTGATATTTAGATGTGTTGACTATGATACTAATTGTAGGATACCAATAAGCTACTGAATCTAGACTAGTATTCTGATGCTGTTGACTAACATATATTAGTGAACTATTTGTTTTAATAGCATAGTGAGGACAACTCACATGTAATTGTTTGGTGGTGTTATAATATATAAGTTCAGATTTTGTTTAATATATCATATGGCTTGTCAACTCTTTAATAAAGGAAATGTTTATGCGGTTTTTGTGTAGATTGCAGTTCTACAGCGTTGATGTTAATACTGTTTCACACAAACTTGTCGCTCGAGCCGGCGTGACTGTGAGTTTCTCATAGCTTTCCCATTATATTCTCTCTTTTTTTTTTGTTATCTTAGTGTAATGTAAGCAGAATATATTGAAATTTTTTTGCTACCACATCTGTGACTTGTCAGTGTCTTTTCATAAACAGATGTTGCCATGTGGGTACTTCAGCAATAAATACTTCATTTGAGCCTGTTACGTTTCTATTTTAAATCTGTGAAGAAGTTGAGAATTTGAGATGAAAGAAAAAATATAGAAAATTGTATAAGGAAAATCTATATAGGAACTTACTTGATAAATATTTTTGGTTTCCATCAGCGTCTTTAAATCATGTCTTTACATCGTAGGTGGTTTGTGCTTTACGAAAGTTGTTCTGGTATTTTTTAATTGGTTTTAGAGAAGACCAATAGAAGCCCTAGTTAGAAGAGTTGATCAAATGGAGCAAACAAAATTCAATAAAAATATAGGTGGTTTGTGCTTTGATTTGAATGTTTTGCTGAGGGAGCAGCTCAGGAAAATTTCCTGGTTTTACAAACCTCTCACAAGGAATATATAACTAAATTATAACACTACTTGATGAGTCTATCTGTTGATATACAACCATTTTTCTCACCTTTCTTATGATTCTGATTTTTGTATTTGTTTCAACTAAATTTTCTATTTAGACATTTTTCTTTGATACTTATCTTTCAATTTTTCATGTATTTGTATGTTGTGGTCTCTCAATCACTGCAGAAAATGCCAACCATACAAGTAAGAAAATTTATGTTTGATTTGATAAATTTATTATAGTCTTCTCTTCCAGTGATTTTAGTGTTTCTTGTTTGCAGCTGTGGAAAGATAGCAACAAACAAGCTGAAGTTATTGGTGGCAACAAAGCATATTTAGTAATAAATGAGATTCAGGAGATGATTGAGAATGAGTGCACCACAAGTTTCGGTGCATGAGACTAGTATACTTTATTAATAGGCTTTACGTTACTGCATTAATTTTTCCCCATACATTACATGTAATAAATTTTGCTACTTTTTATTTTTTGTTTTCCCAAAACCGTTGCTTTTAAATCATCTTATGTACTAAAGGCTTAATATTAGGAAATATCAAATTTTACATAGAATAAAAAAGTAATAAAACATTGTACATAAATAAACATAAAACATTAATGCATAATAAGATAAAGTGTTACGTAAATTCAAATTTTAGGTCCCAAATTAGTCTTAATTGTATTTTTTTTCATTCTTATTTTACACTTTTCTTAGTAATTTAACTTTTGAACTTATACAGTTTGATACTTAGGAGGGTGTATTGGATTAGGATTTTAAATGACTTTTTTAGTTAAAAAAAATTCTGTGGATTTTAAAAGACTTTGCAGGATTTTCATGATTTTTAAGATTTTGAAGGATTCTACAAGACTTAAAATCAGGATTTTAATGGATTCTGCAAGACTTTTAAATCAGGATTTTAATGGATTCTCTAGGATTTTGTGAATTTTGTAGAATTTTCGTGAATTTTTGACATTTGATAAGATTTCAAAAAAAATTCATACATTCAAATTTAAAAAGAGTCAAAGATAAAAATAATAAAATAATAATAATGTTTAGATAAATAATAATAATAATAATAATTTTTCATAATATCTTATATTCTCTTAAATAACATTCACTCACATATTCATAGTTATACTAGTCCTTCAAGCATTAGCGTTTTCTCGCTCTTGCTCCTAGGTTTGAATAATAGGCTCAAAAATATGATCTTCATTAACAGGTAACGTTGAAGATGAAAGTTCATCCACCGCTTCAATTGAAAATTCATCAGAATGACATTCTTTACGTAGAAAGTTATGTAGTGCTGCACATACTAACACAAGTTCTACTTGTGTCTTAAATAAAAATGGAGGTGCTGACTTAAAAATTGTGAAACATGATTTAAAAATACCAAATATTTTGTCGATCACATTCCTTAAAGATGCATGACGAAGATTGAACAATTCTTTCTCATTTTCAAGGTCATTACCTTGACATGCAAAATCTTGTAGATGATATCTTATACCTTGAAATGGAGCTAAAAATTAGCGTCAATTAAGAAATCCACAATCTACCAAAAAATATTATTTTAGTTATATATTATATGATAATTTTTAACGATATTTATAAATATAAATTATTCTAACAAATATTTTAACAATATTTCCTTTTTAAAAAATAAGCTAATGAAGGCATAAATTCTAAACCCTAAAAAATTAGATATTGCAATGTCTTATGTTAATTTTCTTTTTAAAAATATAAAAAAATCCTAATTTCACAATATAAAAATAAAAAGAAAAATTCATAGTAAAAAAAATAAAATAATTGTTGAGTCATAAAAGGATGAGCGATAAGAGTAACAAACTTAAGAGAAGGAGAGAGATCGCAGTTTTTATGATGAGAGGATTCTTCCCCAACTAAAAAATAAAAGATTCATTTTTATCTCATTCTAGTCACAGAAACTCTAACTCAAATTCATCTTATATGTATATATATATATATCGTAGAGATTATGATATCAATTTCATCTTTTACCTTTTTCCTTTTCTTGGCGTGTGTTATAAAAAAATTATCACTTAAAAGTTGAAATTTCAAGCATTTTTTTTTTGTGTTATATAAAGGAACAAATTCAACTACATAGAATAAAATAAAGCAAGTCAATTAAAGGGAACGAACAGAAAAATAGAGCAAGTCAATGACATTATCATTTACATATTAAAGTTTCACAAAATAGGAGAATGGGATGGGAACAGTACTACAATATTATATATGAGCAATGAACAATAGTGCAGTATTATTAGCAGAGAAAAATGGAGAAGACAGGAACATAGAAAAAAAGATGAAAAACTCACTTGAAAATTCTTGAAACACTTGAAAAGTCACTTCAAACAATCCTTCAAAATCCAATGGGTTTGGATGAGATTATTTTGTGAATTTGGTATTTATAAATAACACTAGAAAGTCCTTCAAAATCTGTCTCACACAACAATCCTTTAAAATCTTTATATTTTTGAATACCAATGGATTGTTTTTAAGTTGTAAAAAATCTCAAATGAATACCAATGAATTTTAATGGACTCTTTCAAAAATCTTAAAAATCCATATTGAATACCACTGGATTGTTTTTAAGTGACATAAAATCCTGATTGAATACCAATGGACTTTTTTACTCAAAAAAAATCTTTTAAAATCCTACGAAATCCTAAACCAATACACTCCCCTTAATTTTTAAAATTTTGCATATTTTATTATTTAATTAAATGATTAATGATATGCCACATTAGATAATGATGTCACATGTTGATTGACAATTTAGATTATTAATTTGACATATGAATGATATGTGGCATGTATAGCATGAATTAGGAAAGAAATTGTGTTAAGTTAGACAAAACATGAAATATACATATTAGATTTGTTTTATAAAATTAAAATTTAAATATAACTTATTATTTATTAGATTTTTTTTTATAGGTTTTTCATAATTTTTTTAAAGTTATTTATTAGTCTTTTTAAAAAAATTATTTTAAATTAAAAAGTGAATAAATTTAATTTTAAATTAGCTAATAAATATATTTTTAAAATACATGTACAAGTTCTTTTTTTTTGTTTTTTTTTTCTAATTTACACAATAAAAAATAGTTTATTAACATAAGATGAACAACTCATATAATTATGTACAGTCACACTTAAATAATAAAATAAAGTAATCTTATAAAAAAAAACTTTATAAATATCTCTTACATCCTATTAGAAATATTTTAAATAATCAATCATGATGAAAGAAAAAAGTAGGTAATAAAAAATATATAAATAATTTGTCTTTTTTATTATTATTTTTTAATTTAATTATATTACTAATAATATATAAATATTAATTTTTTTTATTATATTATATAATTAAATAGATTGATCTATAAAGTTTAACAAATACTTTTTATAAATCTTAAGTCAGACTTTTTAAATAAATAATTTTTTTAAAAGCATAAACCTCACATCTGTATATTAAATAAGTTATGTGAAATTAAACTTTAAATAAGTCAACTTGTAAGGCCATTTTTATTTTTATCTTTAATATCAATAACTAATATATCATAACAATAATCAATGTATTTATAATTAACAACAACATACGGTCAATCAGTCAATCATATAAGGTGTATTTAATTGAAATTTTATAAAACTATTTTAGTACAAACTGATTTTATGAATTTGTAGGGATGTAATATATTTTAAAGATTTTGTAATATAGATTTTAATAAATTTATATTTTAATAATTTATAAAATTTGAAAAAACCTTAAGATTTTTTTGAAGGATAATATAGATTTTTTTAAAACAATACAATTAGTGAAAAATCATAAAAGGTTTAAATAAAAAAAATAAAATTAATTTTTTTCAATCTTTTAATAAATAATTAATTATGGTTTCAATTTCAAGTCCTCTTAATTAATATTTCTCTACATACAACTTTCTATATATTTATATTTTTTTCATTCATACTATAAAATTTAAATAATATATTCAAATTTATGATATTCATTAATTGATAGAATTATCAAAAAATATATATATTTTAATATATTTAAAATTTGATATTTCAATGTAAAATTTTATTAAAAATAAATATTTGTTAAATTTTAATAATTTAACAAATCTAACAATAGATAATATTTAATAATTCAAGAGAAGGGGAGGAGGAAAAGAAGAACAAGAAAAAGAAGAAAAAATAAAATGAGATGAAAAAAAGAGAAAAGCAAAAATGTGAGAGAGAAAAAATAAAATAGAAAAAATCATGTCAAATTTCAATAAAAAATATTAAATAAGTGAAATATATGTAAATTCTATTAAAAACTTTAAAAAAATTTATTATTTAAAATAATTGATTAAAATTTCTATGTTTTTAAATATAAATAAATATTATTTTTAAATAAAAAAGTTTTAATTAAATATTATTAAATATTTTATACACCTAAAAATTTCTGAATGTCTTAATTAAATATATTTTAATATATTATTCAATTTTTTTAATTATCTTAATTGAAAATAATAATTTTTTATATTAAAAAAATATCTTTCTTTTAAGATCTTTAAAAATCTAATCTTATACACTCTCTAAAATTTTGAAAGTTATCGCAAAACATATAATTTGAAAGTTGAATAGTAAAAGTCATATAAAGTAAAATAAAAAATATACAATTATATAAAGATAGGTCTAAAGAAATGTATGTGCACATATACATTTACATGTGTTTCCGTGGGTAAATCGTAACAATAGTAGTAACAAATTAATAATAATAATATAATAGATAAATAATTATTTAAATAATGTTATTTACGTAAGAATCTCTTCCCTCAACAACCACACAAGATCGAACAAACCCAAGGCAAATTACTCGAGTCTTTCCCCATCACCTCCAATAGCACTCACAAACGGGTTACTCGTTGCAAATTACTCGAGTGCCTCAATAGAAACCCTGAATCTGTGAGTAAACTTTCAAACTCTTCAATTCTTCTATTCATCTTCCAAACCTTTTTTTTTTTTTGGAAAGAAATTTCTATTGCGGATAGAACAGCGTTTTTCGAACTCTGTTAGTTTCTGCAACACCGTTTTGTTGCGGCCGATGCATGCTAATTTTGTTCACTCCCGTGCGGCGTAATCCTTTTTTTCATTTTTATTTTTATTTTTATTTTATTTTTTTGCGTTTCTGAACGATTTTTAAAACCCTAGGCGTGTTTGATTTCTCTTAGCCGTTTCAGACAATGGATATTGTTCCTTTTTGTTATTTTTGGTATGAAAGAAAATATGTGTGATCTATTTCAATTTGTTTAAGCATATTTATGTTTATTTTTCAGTTTTGGGTTCTATGTCATTTTCGGTTTATCACTTTCTGGTTATGTGTTTTGTGGGTCTCTTCCAATTTATCTATTAGGTCAAGTTGAATTCAAAACGGAAGCTATATAATAAGTAAAGACGAGAGACCACAATCGATGATTATCACTCCTTCAATTTTGTTGAATCAACCCTTTTCTAGTGTTCTCTTTGAGACTTGGCAAGTCAATATTCAGTATAAAAAATTTGTTTGAGTAATATTTTTTGCAACTTCTGATTGCTTAATGGCTGGTTAATAGAAGTCCAATGTTCTGTAAATGTCCTGTTTGTTGATTTTAATCTCTGTTGGTTATCGGCCAATTGGCCTTGATGTGTTGATGCTTAGGGCTTGGCTTTTTCATGCAATATTTTCTTTTAAAAGTTAGCTGCCAAATCCTTTGTCTATTTCATCATATGCTAACAGATATTTATCGGCCAATTGGCCTTGATGTGTTTATTTGCTTAGGGCTTGATTTTGAACCAGGGTAGGACTAGTGGTGGTGGATTGGGGTAGTAGGAACAGAGTTCTAGGATCGAACATGTGTGCCATCATTTTAATTCTGATGAATAAAAGAAAAAGAAGTTACTTCTAAATTCCTATACCGCAATGCTTTTATGTAACTGAAAATTTGGTGGCATTTACTGTACATTGAAGAATTCACCGTCCCTATCTAAACAACTACATTGTAATTTATTACTATCTTTACGATTATATTTTCTTACAGCTTGTTGTGTGCAACTTCTCAAATGATGGAAAACACTAGAATTCATATATAAGTTTTAAATAATTAAACTGCATTCTTGCAAGGAATATGTTCAAAAATGGCCTAAATGTACAATCATGTAATATGAATTCAAGTACAACAGTGAGCACTTATTCCTAAGTATTTTTTTAAAACTACCTCTCAGATCATCATATACATTTTATCTGAAACTTGTAGTTTGTATCTGCCTTTTTTTGCTAACAGCTAGCATTTTTAGCATTTGATCATAATCAAGGAGTGGACATCAATGGCCAGTAGTGTTAACACTTCACCTCTAATTTTACCAGGTAGAATGATTTTATACATCTTGATAGTGCCCAGTTTTGGCAACATAATGATGTGACTGGTGCTCAGTTATTGTTCCTTTTTGTATGTAGTTGGTATCAAAATTCAGCCTCAAGCTCATGTTAAGCATACTGGACCAAACATTGTTGGGATGAAACCCTTACCATATAACATTAGGAAGGAAGATCGTATGATTTCTACATTACAAAGTCCATCATCTCATATCACATGTGCTGCTGCTTTGGTAAGTTATTATTATTATTATTCTGTTTTGTTTTTTGGCATTTGTTATTTGTAATTTGTTCTATTGGTGATGATGATATATCTTAATTCTGTAAAAATGATGCAAAACATTGTATTATATCAACGCAAAATCAGCCGTTTTTGAAAAGTTTGCAAGGTTCTGATAAACATAATAAATATTATCCATCCAACAATAGGAGTTCAGCTCCTTACAACCCTCTGAAAAATAGTTGAGAGAACAAGATACCCAGAAACCCCAATGAGCTGTCCCCGACCAAGGCAGATGGCCTCTAGACAAGCCCAAAATTCTGTTATACCTGCCTACCCATCGAGCTCTCTATCCCACCATCAAGCCGGAACCCATTCCATTTACATGCTGCCAACTGTGTGCTTTTTTATGCTTCTCTTGTCTAATCAAAACCCTCACTTGTTCTCTTCATTAGTTGAAATTCCCTTATTTCACCTTTCCCATCCTTCTATGCTCTCACTCATGCAAACCCTCATTGGGCCTATCACTCTTTGGTCCACTATCCTTCTCACTTCTCATTCTAGAATCAAATCACCTGTCCCCTTATATGCCTCCTCCCTTGTCCCCTAATTCAACACTAACACCAACGTAAATAAAGAAAAAACTGTCAAAAAGAGAGAATATTGATATTTATAGGAGATTTTTTTTTTCATGTGTCTTTTTCTATTGGAGGATAAGAAGAGGGATAGTGTTTTAAGGGATAAATCCTTTAGACCCTCTGTAATTCTTTTAAGTAGAGAATTGGGCAATTAGTGTTTTGTGTTGATTGATTTCCTGCATGTTAATGACTTATCTTTTAGGCATTTATGAGATATTATAGGATGGAAGTAGATTTGGTGTTTTTATTTTTGTCCCTAGTTTCAGTCCCAATCTTGAAACTTGCTCTTTATGCTATAGGTGAACCACTGACAATGGCATAAATGTCAGGCTTAATTGTTTAATGATCTAATATATTCTGATTGCTTGTATTGTGAATTCTACAGGATACTAAATGTGCTGCAACTGCAAGTGCAACCCAAACAGTAACCCGCAATGCTCGGTCAATGACTATTACTCCTGGTAATAATCTCTCAATGTGTTAGCCCCTCCGTTTGATATGCAAATCATTGTGTGCTTACTCATTTGATTTTCATTTGTTTTTTTTTTCTTCCCATACATTTTCATCTGTGTAATTTGACGTAACTAAATCAATGTGGGAAAGTCAGGGTTTTGTAGGAGTGAAAGCTGAGAACATTTAATAATTGTAGCATGTATTTTCAAATTCTTGCTTATTTCAGATAGCTGTCTTATATATGCGTAGTCAATTGTTTTCCTAAATCGTTTTCATTATAATCATGTACTTGTCTTCTTGACTCTGGATAAATTGGTTAAATCAATGGATGAGGAAGTAAAGTAGCTTTCTTGCAAGATACTTATAGTGCGAAGAGCAACAAGCTAATGAAAGATTAGCAAACCAGTAAATTACGGAGGGTCTAAAGGATTTAGATGGCTTAAAAATGGTTCTTTTGAAGCTTCAAAGCTCTCTTTTATGCTGATAGCAAAGGGAAGAAATGTTGTGTTTTTTTTATTTGTTTTTACCCCTTTTGTGGAGGGTTTTCCAAGGAGAGATTTGGGGAAGTTGTTGTGGTGGCCCCTTTGTTTCTTTCGTCGGATGTGTTTGTTGTGTGGTTCTTATATAATGCTCTATTGTATTTTCTCCTTATATTGTAATACATTTCTTTATATGTTTAAAAATTGTTTATATACCCTCTGGCCTTAATTATCTGTTATGCTTATGGTATGAATATTTGAATGTTTCTATGCAAAAGATAGCGTGCTAATACTTTATCTGAAATGACAGACAAAGTTAAGTCCCCTCAACTTGATAACAATGGACCTGGACTGCCACCTCGTGACGATGATGGTGATGGTGGCAATGGAGGAGGTGGAGGTAAGTTTTCGGGTGGACTCCAGCTTTTGGGTATTCTTGGTATCCTAGATGTTCTAAAGGACATTGAGAATCAATGGCAACGCAAGCACAAGAGACGATCTTGAAAATCAGGCTTTACATGGTGGCAGTGCAATTGCTTTACAAACCTATTGTGAACTCGCACGATGCGTAGAAGATGCTGTCTACAGTCTATACAAATAGAGTTAGTTTTATGGGGGAATTCATTTGGATGGAATACATAAAATGCTTATAGAAACTAATTACTGAGAGAAATATGTTGAATTTTTTTATCATGGGTTGTGAAAATAGGAATGACAATGAGTAGAATTTAGACACGATATTACAATATTTGTCCTGAAACTCGGACCAAGATTTAGAATATGTTTAGACAAACTTCTTTAAAAACACTTGTAAACGATTAAAAATAAGAAGGAAAAATTAAATAAATTTCTTCATTAAGTTTAAACTAGTTTATGTATGAATTAAAAATTAGATTTTGGAGAAGTTAATGAAAAAGACTTTAACAAATTAATTTATGTATAGGTTAATTTTAATTTATGATAAAGTTTATTTTATTTTTCTTCTTATTTTTCTATTTTAGAATTGTTTTTAGAGAAATTATCCTAGGGTGCTTATAAATTCCAATCCGATATTATTGCTCACATTTTAGTTAATTTGAATATGGATTCCTATTGTTTGATTTACCAAGTAATGAACTACGTAGAGGTGGGAACAAGTTATTTCATAAATAACTTTCAGTGTAATTATTGTCTATTTGTTTTTGTACAAAGTGGATTTTACTAATTTAACCATTAAATTTAAGAGTTCAGTCTGTAATTTTTTAAAAATTTCAAAACTTTGATATTTCACTAAATATGTTTAGTTTAATATATATATATA